ACACACACACACACACACACACACACACACACACACACACACACACATATCATGGCTACTAGGATCAACTGGCCTAAGAAGAAACAACCTCCTTTGTGACTCTGACTGCATTCTTCTACAAGTAGTTTGTGGTACAACCTCTGGTGGCCTCATAACGTGTGAAGACTTTGCTCACTGATGGTACCAAATTGTCCCAAGACCTGACCTGACCACGGGTGGTGATGAACCACAGCTCTCACCACTCCTGTTTTAAGCAACATCAGAGAGTCAGAAGACCTGCGTTCTAGTCCTAGCCTTGCCACCGAGTCTTGGTATGATCTGAAATAATCAGTCCATCCATAAGCCTCAGTTTCTTCACCTGCAAAATGAGGGAGTTAGACAAAATAAGCTCCAGGATCCCTTGTGGCTCTGCAAGTGAAACTCAATTTAGAGTAGTCCTTTTTATAGAGTTAAGACTCTTAGCAGTCACCTAGCCCAACCCCCTCCTTGCAGATGAAGAAACTGATGCAAGAAGAGGTTAAGTGACTGGCCCAGGGTGGCAAAGCTAAGAGTGTCAGAAGGAGGAAGATTTGAACCCTGGTCTCTCTGACCCCCAAATCCAATGTCCTCTCCCTTCAGCCGAAGCACAGCCTGCCTACCACCTGATGGGTTCCTCGCTATCTGTGAATTTACCTTGATGCACACCTCTTTACATTTCTCTCTGGAATTCACTACCTGGATCTTCACAGACAATACTAGCATGGTGATACATGTGCCTGGAATTTATACTGTTTACTGTCATCCACAGATCAGATGTCACTCACATGCTGCTCAAAACTCCTCAGTGATTGCCCTTCCCCTCTAGGATAAAATACAGATGACTCTGCCTGACAGGAAAAGGCCTCCCCAATCTAGTCTCTGCCTACATTTCTAGTTATTTCTTATTGGTCCCCTATCTGTGTCCTCTGTTCCACCCAAACTGGCCTATGAACTGTTCCTCAGACTTGCTATGGCTGCCTCCCAGATCTAGAACACCTACACTGTCCTTTTCTCTTAGAACCTCTAGCTTCCTTCAAAGAACAGCTCCAGTGCTGCCTGTTTATTCAAGCCTTTCCTGATTCATCTCCCCACCTTGTTAGTGCTTTCTCCTCCCTCAATTCCCTTGTATTTACTCATCTGTGCATATTTTGGAACCCAACAGAATGACCACTCCTTGTGTTGTTTTTGTATCATCAATGCCTAGCACTGTACCTTACACAAAGTATGCACTTAATAAGTGTCTACTGAATTAAACTGATATTTGACAAGTTCTCTCAAATTATTCTTGTGGAAAATAGGAAGAAATGTGAACTAGATGATCATATAATTAGGTAAATCAAAACTAGCTGACCACAATGACTTGGACAGTTCCTAGTGGAGTGTCCCAGGGAGCCACACTTGGCCCTGTACTGTTTCATACTTTTTTCAATGAGTTGAAGAAAGACAGGCTTTTCAAATTTCAATTTTTCAAATTTACAGATAACATCGAGTTGAAGAGAGAGCTCATGCAGTAGATTAGAAGTGTCGACCATACTCAAAACCAATTAAGAGGAAAATGACAAAGGCCAAAAGGGCTGAGGGGAAACTCACTGTCAAGAGAGCTATGGATTGGTCCAGCCATTCTGAAAAGCAATTTGGTCAACTGTGCATACCCTGTGGTCTAGGGACACAACTCCCAGGCTTATACTCCAAAGAGATCAATGAGAGAAAAAGGAAAAGGGTCAATGTGTACAAAAATAGGTTTAGCGGCAAAGCACTGTAACTAAGGGGGTGACCATAAACTGAGGAATGGATGAACAAATTATGGAACATTAATGTAACAGAAAACTACTGTACTGTAAGAAATGATAAAAAGGATGGCTTCAGGGAAAGCTAGGAAAGCCTGTATGAGCTAATGCAGAGTGAAGTGAAAAGAACCAGAAGAACGTATTATACAGGAACAACAATATTGTAAAGTTAAGTAACTTTAAAAGACTTAACTCTGATCAATGCACTGGCCACTCATGATTCCAGAAGACTGATGATGAAACAAGCATGTTACCCACTTCTGACAGAAAGGTGACTCAAGATGCAGAATGAGACATACTTTTTTTGCATATGGCCAGCTCATGAATTTGTTTTGCTTGACCATACACATTTGTTACAAGGGTATTCTTATTTAATTGTGGGAGAAGTGGGAGGGAGAGAAAAATGAATGTTTGCTAGTTGAAAAATATTCATTTAATTTTTAAAAATAAACAAATCTATTAAGATCAAATTAGACACTGATAAGATGGAAAGCAACTAGGATGGTGAGGGGCCCCCAGTCCACCCCAAATGAGCACTGATTAAAGGAATTGGGGATTTTTAGCCTGCAGAAGAGAAGATGCAGGAGACACATAACTGGCTTCAAATCCTGAAGGGCTGTCATGTGGAAAAAGGATTAGAATTATCCTGTTTGCCCATCAACTGGGGAATGGCTGAACAAGCTATAGTACATGATTGTGATGGAAAACTATTGTACTATAAGAAATGAGGTGGAAATGGATTTTAGAAAAACCTAGAAAGACTTACATGAACTGATGCAAAGCAAAGTAAGCAGAACCAGGAGAACATTGTACACAGTAACAGCAACATTGTGCAAGGATCAACTATGAATAACTTAGCTCTTCTTAGCAACACAATGATCAAGACAATTCCAAAGGACTCACAATAGAAAATGCTTTCTACCTCCAGAGAAAGAACTGATGGAGTTTGAATGCAGAGCAAATCACACTCTTTTCACTTTCTTTATTTTTTTTTCCTGTGGTTTTTTCCTTTTGGTCTGTTTCTTCTTTCACAACATGACTAATATGGAAATATGTTTTACATAATTATACATATGTAACCTATATCAAATTGCTTACTGTTTTAAGGAGGTAGGAGGTGAGGGAAGGAGGGAGAAAATTAGGAACTCAAAATTTTTAAAAAATGAATGTTAAAAATTATCTTTACATGTAATTGGAAAAAAAATAAAATATGATGTTAAAAAAAGATAGCAATAAAAAATGTTTTTTGAAGATGACTTAGATCATTGATACTGTCAAAGCTATAAAGCAAGCTAAGAAACTTGAACTACCACAAAGCATAAATCTTATAATCTGGACCTGACGTGGACCCTAGAGGTGATTTAGTCTAACTTTGTCATTTCACAGAGAAGATGGGTTCCAGTAGAGGCAAATGACCTGGCCAGGGTCACAAAACTTCTGGTTCCCAGCCTCTCTCCACCACCTCATGCTGGGTTATTGCTCCAGATTTCTAAAAACTCTTCATTTGACTCCAGCAACACCAAATGGCCCTTGAAAGATCTGGCCCAGCACTTAGCCAGCACCATCATGAGCACAAAATAGGTACTGTCTGAGTCAGCACGAGTTGACCATGTGCATCACTCCTTGAAGGGGCCCCTTTTGAAGTTCAGGAATTACAAAAAATAACCATCCTTCTCTTTTCTTTTCAGTTATTTTTAGTTCACCAGAAGAGAGTACTCATTTCTCTCCAAAGCAACAACAGCCACAAGGCCAGCCCCATTTCTTACATTTCTACAATTAGCCTTTGTAAAATGCAAGGGTAGGTTAATTATTGAGCAACACATTTTCCCCAGCTTTATTGCCCATTACTCCTCTTCAAGCACTTTGAGTTCTAACCAAACTGGACTGTTCAGCGTTCTTTTATTTCATCATGCCCTCTCACCTCCATAGCAGGTCATTCATAGAGAAGGCAAAAGCTTTTTCTTGGCATCTTACACCACAACAAAGAGCACTTAATGGCCCTAAGGTTGGGGGGCTGCCAGTCAAGCAATAGTTAACAAGGGACCTTACAAGCCCCTCCTCTTCATCACCCCTCAGCAGAACAGATGACAAGGTCAGTGATCTGGGAGCAGGGGAGTTGGATTCAATTTCAGATTATCAGGCCTAGAGCTGTGACCAGTGATGGCAGGGACCACAGCCTGCCTGATCCAGTCTGTGAGGCTCTGACCCTAAGTCAGTCTCCTCAAGCCTCTCTCTGGGGCTTCTCAATCTGCTTTTCAAGCTTGTACCATGGTGGGCAATCATCATACCACCGCCGGGGTAGAACCCTTGGTTAGTACTACAACATCAACTCTGTTTGTCCTGATCAGGAGTGGAGATTTAAGTTTAAAGATTAGTCTAGCCAATCTGATTAAGAATTACGTAATCACTATCCAATCAATACCCAAGGATATTTGTGCCAATATGCTGATATACTGACAACAGGCCTATAGATGGTTCACATACATTCGGAAAACCACCTATGGCAAGTATGTCTGGCTATTTTATATACAGCAAAGGATTTGCAACATGCTTATCAGCCTGTCCTGACCAATACCTGGTTATCACAATTTACATGAACAAGTTGCTTATATTGTCAAAGTGCTTGGGTGCCTGTCTATAAAAAATTCAAGAGTCACTCATGCCAAGAGTGCTCCTACCACACCTTGACTTACACACCTCTATGTTGCCTTTCTTGATCACTTCTGGGTAAAAATGATCTCTCCCTTCCTCTTATATCACATTCTGCTTGCAAACATACTTACTTGTCTATGTATCTGATTCTCCCTACTAAAGTGTAA